AAACAGCATGAGCATAGTTCTGGGTCCCGTAACCTACAATGTTGTGACGGACTGCTGGGTAAAGCCCGTCGATGAAGCGTTGTGCCCTCTGTGCCTCCGTACGCACCAAGTCCGGAACAAAAGCTGCAAGTCTAGTAAACTCCCTCTCGTACTCATCAACACAACGAGTACCCTGCTTGAGCGACAGAAAATGACGCCCCATCTCTGCTCTATAATATGTGGGATAGTACTTCTCTCGGATTAGCTCCTTGAGCCTCTCCCAGGTACAACCCTCTTTCTCGCCGGGACGCATGCTCCAGTAGGCATTCCACCAGAGTCGGGCATCGTCGGTTAACTGAAGCTGTGCGCATATAACACGATATCGATTTGGACAGTCCATGACCTCGAAAATCAACTCAAGGCCCTGAATTCACTCGTCCACGATACGGTGATCTCCCTGATCGAAGAATTTCTCAGGATGATAGTCGCGGAACTGTGCGACTATAGTGGCCTGGGGAAGAACCGGGCGATCAGGTTCCCTACGGGGCGACATCTGATCAATGAAAAAGTTCAACAATACATGAAAAATACTCTAACTGATTACTAAAGTACACAGATCTCTTGACGAGTTGCCAAATATGGCTGGAAAATACTGATATTATCTTGAGGAAAAATCTACAGTTATATCTGGGTACACTGATCTATAAGTTCTGAACCTGATTCGAGCATCTTAACTAAGTCATGATTAATAAATTTTTGAGCATAGACAAAGTAATTTGTTTATATTTAAAACATAAATCAGCACTTACCTATAGTCGGCGAGGCGTGAGCGTGACGGTTCAGGTTTTTGCAAAATTACTGACTCGTAAAAATTTTCAGAGACGCAGAAACGTGATCTGATACCAATTGTAACACCCCGCTCTTTCATGAAATTCAGAGCGCGCTTTTAGCAGAAGTTTCCTAAATAAAAACATTTATTTTGCGAAATACTGATTCGGAGTGCTACCGTATAATCTGACTTTATCTGAAAACTGTTATTTTTAATTTAATAACAAACGGTTATAAAACATAGTACCCGACTAAAGTCGGATTAAGAGCTGGTTTGAAAAACTGAACAGTAGCGGAAACCACAGTGTAGCCAAAACAATATATACACATATATACAAATGTCCTGAACCGGTCGCCAGCTCACTCCTCGGCTCCGACTCTGTGACCTGAAAAACATGAATAATGTGGGGGCATGAGCACTAATCCACTGTGCTCCGCAAAAACTCATACTAAAGTAAACAGTGAAAATAATAACAATATCATGATCCTGACATATATAACTGAACTGATACTGAACTTAAACTGAATCCAGTACTGAATAATCATGATCTGATACTGATGTCGTGATAATCATCACCTGACTGATAACTGAACATCTGCCAGCATAAAAATGGCGGACACTATGTGCACACTCTAGTGGGCAGACTAGGCCACTAGAACCCAGAATGCACCGGCGACCATTCCGAGCGAATACTGATAATACATACCTCAAACATGGTGGCATAATTATAATCAATGTAATACCCAGTCTGAGTCCCCACCTGATCCTTTGAAAATGCAAGGCAGTGCTGATATCTGATGTCTGATCAAACTGAAATATAATATAAACAATTACTAAGTACTATGCCCAGACTGATAAAAATATCTGTTTAATTTGTTAAGATGCTCTACTGGACTTGACATGATATTTAGATTTAATTGATATAACTGAACCCGGTTAAATACGGAACTGAACTTATATAAATTTACTGAACTGAAATGGACCCAAAATTTTAACTGAAAACTGAGACTTGAACATGAACCGGGATTAAAACGTGAAAATATGGGCTGAACCGGTCCAACCGGTCTGACCGGTCTGGACCGCCGGCCTGCCGCGGCCGG